CGTGTACATAACTGATAACAAACATGACAAAACTATTAAGAAACATGATTATTTAAACAAAATACTTTCAAATGTGGAGTGTCACGCAGTGAATTCTGGGAATATCAGTTTACAGTTTTACTGTAAATTATACATTTGATTTGTTCTTTTTTTACTTCTAAAAATTGTACAATTAACAGCATTTTACTGTAAAATTACATGAAATGTCTGGCTAGATCTTTTACAGTTTTTCCCTGTGTATAGGAACTTACTGTTAACCTATTAACAGTTTTTTTTCCTGTAGTGTTTTCACAATATTTTACAGTTAAAATTACACTCATTTTTTTACAGTGTACTTATCTCTGCCAGTATACTATTACATTACTACTGTTATATTACCTTGGCATTAGATAAAAAAAATAAACTAGTTAACATTGCCTGGAGGGTGTTTATAATACATCGGCTGATTGCAGTAATCAGTCTCTCTATACTTTTTCCATCTTTCAGACTTTTCTTTTGCCATTACAGTAATTTGAAATGTAAAATATTTGCTGTAGTTTCCCCGTTTCAAAATCCACATATGAGAACCTTAAATGATTCAGTGACTTGGACAATTTGGTTGAGTGAATGATTCAGTGATAGAGTGTTTTTACAGCAAACTGAGAGCAGTGTTTTCTGTGAACTCCGCTGTTCTGAGACCCTCAAAATCACTGTCATCGTGAGCTGTTCACTTGTAAATGAACTCTACCACACTTCACTCTGAAAACACATTGCAAATGTATTTATTTAATTGATCACAGCCTTTTCATTTGTTAATCGCACTAAGCTGTCATGATTCTTTTTCAAATAATTGCTCTAGTTTTAATCCATTCTAAAATGTTCAGCTTTAGTGTGTGAATGCATGACATAAAATTGATATGTCATTTGTTCACAGTGGGTCTGTGTGCAGAACCACACACATCAGTAAAGCTTTTAAATGGTTTCAGTGTCTCAAGGTAGTATTATCCGTCACAGCCCTGTCAGCGAGGATGGGGGGTTGATTTCTTCTCAAGCCTGCATTGATGCTCAGGGTCCTCACCTTTGACCCCTCTAACAGCCTTCCTTGCCCTTTTCCCTCAGGTTATTTCCTGGAGTTTGTGGAGCCGCCAAACAATATAACTATAGTGCAGGGCCAGACGGCCACTTTACACTGCAAAGTGGCAGGCCACCCGCGGCCCAGCATCCGCTGGCTTAAGAACGACGCCCCGGTGGTGCAGGAGCAGGGCCGAGTCTCCATCCGCAAGACAGAGGCTGGATCCAAGCTCCGCATTCAAGACCTGGACACCACCGACACCGGATACTACCAGTGTGTGGCTTCAAACTCCATCAAGGTCATTGCGGCTACTGGAGTGCTCTATGTGCGACTGGGGAGTGGAGGTAAATGATTGCTTTTTAATCTCATTTTAATTATTTTCTGAAGACTTTTAAACATTTAAAGCAAAATAATATATTAACATTGGAAAGAAGAAGGTCAAGACAAGATTGTATGGTAACACTTTAGCATAGGGACCAATTCTCACTATTAACTAGTAGCTTATTAGCATGCATATTATTAACATAATGGCTGTTTATTAGTGCTTATAAAGCACATATTCTGCATGAGCATATTCTACATCCATAATACCTAAACTTAACAACTACCTTACTAACTATTAATAAGCAGCAAATCAGGAGTTTATTGAAGCAGAAGTCATAGTTAATGGTTTGATAATAGCGAAAATTGGACCTTAAAATAAAGTGTGACCGATTGTATATTTAGCATATTATTTAAGGAGAAATTACTGGATGTGATCAAATAAAATGAATGAATGACATGCATTAATTGAAAAAAAATTAAAAAAGTTTAGCAAAATATGTAAATGTATACTTATATTGTAAATACACTACAGTTTTTCAGCAAAGACCGATTAAATTGATCAAAGGCATTTATAATATTACAAAAGATTATTATTTCAAATTAACGCTGTTCTTTTGAACTTTTTATTCATCACAAAATATAGAAAAATGCATCACGGTTTACACAAAACGTAAGCAGCACAACACTGACAAAAGAAAATGTTTCTTGAGCAGAAAATCAGCGTATTAGAATGATTTCTGAAGGAATATATGACACTGAAGACTGGAGTAATGATGCTGAAAATTCAGCTTTGATCACAGCAATAAATTAAATTTTATAATATACTGAAATAGAAAACATTTTTTCTAAATTGTACAATATATGGTCTTTTGCTTTCTGATTGGTTGAGCTCTCTTCAGAATTATGGGTAGTGTAGTTCTTCAGGAATTCTTCAGAAGAATTATATTAAAATCACATTGACTTATAGCTTGAGCATATTTCATTCTTCAGCTTTGTAGGTCTCTCTTGAAAGCTTTATACACTGCCGTTAAAAATCAATTTCTGTATGGGTAAAACGAATGGGACTTTTACTTCCAGTACCCTGCTGTTGCACTCCATGGGAAGACGGCACAAATTTCCATTCATTTCTGTCAGGCCAGAGATTTGTTGGCCAAGTTTGTGCTTTTAATGCATAGTTATTTTTGGAAATGATTGCCGTCACATGAAACCCAGCTCAGTTAAATATACCTGTGTGGCATCCCAATATAAACTCCTCTCAGACATTTAGTTGCTCACATCGGGGACTACAATCAATGCGTTCTCTTTCTGTCATAGCTCTAGTGTTTTCTTTCCTGTTCACCTATTTTGGTTTATTTTGGGAGTCCGTTGATTTACAGACAGACTAAAGCAGCAGTGTTTTACAACCATATGCGCCAAATCTCACCCTGGCATCCCTGGATATTTATAGGAAAGCAGCAGCATAAATCTCAGTGTTCCTGCATTAGGACTCAACTTAAGAAACAACTTCCCACTGTTTCCTTCTGGGGGAAAAAAGTCCCTTTTATGTGCATACGGTAAATTCTCCACAAGGAGCGTGTCCGATGTGAAATACATTATGCTTTTGACAGGTTTAGGAGCTTGCTTGCGCCGTGCCTCCTGCTTCTCTGAAAAGTCATCTTGGCGTAATAACATTGCAGCTTCCCTTGAACTGAAACGGCAAATTAGGGTTTGTGAAAACAGCTGCTCCCGAAGGGAAGATCGTGTTAAGACGCTTGTCTGTAATTCCTCCTATCTGTGTTTTACAGGACAGTCCCCGGCCCATGGAGGAGAAGACTCGTAAGTACTGCTTTTGTCAGTTTGTCTCCGTGTGCATTCGCATTTTTCTGCTGTTTGTGTTTCTGTAAATAAATGTTTCATCATTTCCACACAGTAAATTGCTTATTCCAACCCACTGACCGCAAAAATACACACCCACAAATGGCCTAAGGTTTGATGAATTTTAAGAATTCATTTTGAAGAGTCAGATGTTGGCCGAATTTTTGATTTGTCACCACATTTCTGCTTAAAATGCCCAGATCGTGTGTGAACTGTAGCTTTAGAAGATTATCTGATTGATTTGACAAATTTTGTTTAGTGCAAAGCTCTTTGCTGACTGTCTTCTTATAATATGGTAAAATGGTAAATAAGTGTCATCTGCATATTCATACTCTTTCTTGTACACTCTTTCTATTTGCTCTGTTGCCCCAGGTGAAAAAGAAATATATTTAAATTGTGCTTTACTACCACAGTTGGCTAATCAGCTCAAGACAAAGTAATTGTATGTTCATAATCATGGTTCTTCAAAGATCATTAACCTCATTACAATGAAGTAATGACTAATTGTATTTTATTAATTTTTTTCTGCCAATGCATATGTCAAAAACACGACTGATGTAATCATTTTGTTATGTTCTTACACAAAGTAGATATAAAATATACTTTAAGTAATGTTTTCTGTAAATACACTAAAGTCAAATACACTAAAGTTTTCTGTAAAGTCACTAATGCAATTCAATATATTTTTATTGCACTTCAAATAAGCATGTTGGGAATACAAATGTATTATAAACATACTACTTGAATTTCAAGTATATTTTTAATACATTTAATACTACGTCTTTTTCACCTGGGGCTACGGCATGCATAACCTGATTTGTGGAAATAAAGCAGGACCTGAACCATAAACGCAGACCTGTATCCTGGCTTGAAGCAGTAAATCTGACTTAACTTCCTTAAGAGCTGAAGAGAGGGCTGGCAGACACCTTTGGTTGGGGAAGTTTTGTGGCAGGTCCTAATGTTTCCTTTTCCAGGTTAAATAAATGGTAGTGTAATGTCTGTGGGGATGTTTTCAGGGCAGTGCTCATGGTAATAGGATTCATTCCTGCATACTGACATACTGTAGAGCAGTGCTATAACGGTGCGGTCACGTTTCTGTTGTACGGCAAATTTTTGTGGCCAGATCCAGTCATTTCAATAAGAAATGACAAAATCCGGAAATATGTGTGAGGGTGAAAAAGATTGGTTGACTGCACTGACCGACGGAAAGCTGTTTGGTTTAATAATGACTTCTGTGCGAGCTGTGCTTCATTTATCGCTAGACTATTAACAATGAACTTTTTCCCTGTGGAGTTTGGCCAAAATCTTGCTAATGTGACCGCATCTAAAGTGAAGTTCAGTAAATGGAGTTGGACATTGATGAAGTCTTCAGAAAGAACAGGAGTAAAAGAATATTGAATGTATAGTGTACAAGTCAAATGGACCACGTTTTTGGTGCTTTTTTTGGTTACATTTTATTGGAGCTGTATTAGTATCTTGTTGTGGTGCGCTTTCTCAACACGTCCCGAAAGATCATGTGTTAGGGATGCATGGAGCATGCATGATCATTTATGCTACACATGCGTTGTGGTCTCAGGTACCTTGTGTCGTTTTAGTGATCTGATCACACCTGTATTTAGCACTCGCTGCAAAAACAAAAAAAAAGCATGTTGATTTCGGGTGGAAAAGGGGTCTTGTCCTGTTTCCACTGGGTACTGAGTTGAGATGAGATCTGCAGTCAGATGTGTGGGCCTTCAGCAGGCAGAAGCATTTTGGTGGTCAAATTTACAGTGTTTGTCTTCCTTCAGTTCCTAGTACTGCATATGTAACTCTCTGCTAGACAACACATCCTGTGTTCAGCACTTAGATCCACACTCTAGTAGTGAAATACAGAGTTCTGGCATGAAACTCTAGATGGCGCAGTCCGATAGGTCTAACTCAATCTGACCTAATGACATCATTATCACATGGCACAGCTGATTGGTTCTCTCCTGTATCGGTAGCCAATGAGCTCGCTGCTCAACATTCAAATATATGACTAGTGCTTGCAGTAGCAGTGCAGCTTGCTTCAGAAACCCTCCACCTTCCCCAGCTCCACCTGTATAGATCTGCTATGAGGTGATTCATGTATGCTATATGGGGGGTTATTTCATGTATGTTATATTTACAGCAGCGATATTTTTTACATGCTCACGGCAGCATGTTGTGGATGTATTGGCAGTCGCACTTGAATGGGTTAAATGCAGAGCACTAATTCCAAGTATGGGTCACCATACTTTGCCACACGTCACGTCACTTTTATTTTTTATTTTTTTAATATATTATTAATACATGCGGTTCACATGGTTATTTCATGTATGTTATATTTGCAGCAGCAGTATTTCTTACATGCTCACAGCAGCATGTTGTGGATGTATTGGCAGTAGCAAGTCTCGGTACTTGCTCTGCTGCAGCAGCAGCGTAGCAGATCTATTCTGCCAAGACCAAATACATTAACATTGTCATGTACATTACCATGCCAATCCCTCCGAGAGTTGTCTTGACAGAAGTGAGGTTCAGCAAACGCCTTGACATTAACCTCCATGTTAACTTCTCTTCCTGCACTGACCAGTTCAAAACAGATGTTTTTATCAGGAATACAACATTTGTCCAAGTGTTAAACACGTAAAAATGATTCCTGGCTTTATGTAAATGTAAGGAGAACATACCATGTTGTGCTAGAAAGTGCTTTTCCCTTGTGCAGTGCACAGTTTCTTTGAAGTTATATTGTCTTAGAGCTCTCTGCATGAATGAAGGTCCCAGACTGCATTTGTTCTGAGGGATGGCGAGGATAATTTGTGGTTAGAGTCATTAAAGAAAGTAGAAGAGCATTGAGAAGCACATGTACACATATTTGATAAAGGCAGAGTATTGTTTTTCTCTGCATAAATGGTTACAGACGAGCATGAGAAGCACAAATCTCCAGTCCGTGTTGTTTACAGCTTGACAGCCTCATTGTCTTTCACACTGATGTGTGTGTGAATGTTCAAAATGTCATTCTCAAGCTTTTCTTGAAAGGGCTAACTTTTATGCAAAACTAATATCCAGTTCTTGTAAACTTTGCACTGCTTACAGCTATCAGGGAAAGAATGCTTTGCATTTATTTAATGCAATATTTTCAACAAAAAGTAGGAAGTAAATCTGAATCTTGTTAGGCTCGAGTCCTCAAACATTAGCTTGAGAGAAAATTCCTTGCTCAATCCAAACTGCAGTGAAATTGTAACCATATGTGATATTGAGGCTGGCCGTAGCAGAAGTTTAGGGCATTGATGGTTACGCTGGCAAAATGCCACAGTTAGGAGCAAAATCAAACGTGAATAGTGCAAAATTCCTTCTGAGAGCTGTTGTTTTAGCACAGCTTCACGCTACATCTATTTCAATTGAAAGTCTCACACATTCACAGAGACTTACTTCTGATTTGAAAAATAAGGCAGCTATAATAGTTCCAAAACCTCTTTTAAACATTCAAAGGTAACATCAAGGCATCAGACATGCTCTCAACATGTTTCAAAAGAGTTATACTGTCTTCTGGCCAAATTCAAACATAGCTTTTATTAGGGGTGTAAAAATTGTACTGAAAATTTTCGGTATGGGTCTTTCAGTTCTGTACGCATGTGTACCGAACAAATACAGCATTGTTTTAACCACTGCACGAGTGGAACTTCATTGGAAACTTACAGTTTTATACATTGTTACTTTTGATAAGAAACGAAGACTCATCTTTCAAATTATGTCTTTTTTTTTCAGGAAATTCAAACAATAAATGCCATTTTGGCGCTCTTTGATGTGGCGTGACAGATCGCTGTATAAACGGATCATCGCTTCCTCTTTACTGCTAGTTTTAACGTGAAATAAACATGAATGAACATCTCATGCCTCATGTAATCGCTCGATCAGTGTTTCAACCGCGGAAAGACGTCAAAACAAAATGTTGCGTAGCATTTCATTTACTTCAGGCATGTCATCAGTGTCCACAGCTTGTTAGTTCGCTAGAGAAATTAAGTCTACATATGCGTACCAAACCGAAAGTTTTCGGTACGAATAAGTGTATCGTTACACCCCTAGCTTTTATGTATCCTTCGCACATTTCATTGAGCTTGTGAGAAAAGATGTATTGAAAAATATTGATTATACATACAAAAACGTTCAAAGAGTTTGTGGAGAGTAGCATTTTTTTTCTTTCTTTTTTTTTTAAGACACTTTTCTCCAACACGGACGTGTTAAACTGATAAAGACTGACTGTAAGGACTTTTACATTGCATATACATACACTTTACATATATAATTCAGTTGTTCTGTAGAGCTTTCTATTCATCAAAGAATCCTGAAAAAAACTGTCAACAGTTTCCACAAAAATATTAAGCAAATCAGCGTATTAGAATGATTTCTGAAAGATCATGTGACACTGAAGACTGGAGTAATGATGCTGGAAATTCAGCTTTCCATCACAGAAAAAAACTAACATAGAAAACAGTTATTTTAAATTGTAATAATAATTCAGAATATACTGTATTTTTGATCAAATAAATGCAGCTCTGGTGAACATTAGCAACTTCTTTCAAATACATTAGAAAATCCTATCTACACCAACTTTTGAACAGTAGGTGGTGCTTACAACTCATTTCATATAAAATTATAGAGAGTAAAGCCGTTTGAACGGCTAGAAATAACTTTAAATGAGTGTTTGTGAATATTGTAAATGAATATTTCACTTGCATACTCATTTTTAAGTCGCTTTGTATAACAGCGTCTGCTAAATGATTAAATGTAAAGGAATATTTTGGCCAGTATTTGTGTGTACTGTGCATTTTTATGTTTAGAGTTTCTTGCTAACGTCATGCTCTTAGTTTTAACCACCAGAGTTTGCATTTGTTCCAAATGCATCACTTACAAGGTTTCATTTCGGTTGGGACGCTGCCTTAGAAGGGAGACAGGAGACTCTGTTTGGATCAGAGCCTGACTCCATATCGTGTTTTAGCTCTGGAAATCTCTGCTGTTGTGAGTTGACAGTTCATTGTGAGACTAAAACAAATGTGTCTGTTGTGGAGACGGAAAAAAAAAAATCAAGGCATCAAGTTCAGAAGCCTTCAGAATCCAACTCCAGCCAGTTCCCGAGTCATCACATAAAGCTATTTGTGTCTGGCCAGAATAGACCACTTTTATCCAGTTGGTAACGGCATAAACAGCAGAGATGGATATCCTGAGCAGCAAATACTGGTGATTTTGGTCACTTCACATTCAGATTATGATGAGAGAAACAGCAAAGCCCAAAGGTAGCATAATAAACAACCATCGAAAGCTCTTCAGAAGTGCTCCAACCACAACACTCAAACCGCAGTCCGCTGTGAATACACTTCTGAATCGCTTTGGCTCAATGCGCGCACCTAGATTTCACGACTCTGTGAACAAGAGGTCACGAGATGCATGGAGACTCCCTTAACGTTCATTAATGTGGTCTCTTTGCTGAAGCCAGCAGGATATTCTTTTAACATTAGCATTAGAAAGCTTACAAATTGGCCAGTCTAGATGGCAATAATCCTACACAACTCACATCCTTGAAAAACGATTAAATTCAAATTATGGCATACACTAAATATAAATAATAATACAAAATTAGCGGTGAAAGGTCATAAACACATTGTGATATGCAATGCGGTGTTTGATGTTAGAAATTCAAAATTGTTGTCCTTTGTGGGCCTGACTGTACAGTGTACCGCTTTAGGCAAGTTGACTCGCTTAATATCAGCTCTGTGTGTCTTTCAGGAAAGTTATCATCTTGTTCATCACTGTCTGTCATTGTCTTTTCTCAGAACGCACGAGAAGGGCTTCTGCCAGCCGTACCGTGGCATCGCGTGCGCTCGCTTCATAGGGAACAGGAGTATCTACGTGGAGTCTCTGCAGATGCAGGGAGAAAGTGAAAACCGCATCACTGGTGAGCACTGCTGGGAACACAAGCACAGTTTATCAGCACATACACACTATAGGTCAAAAGCATAGACTGTATAAAAACATGGACGTAGTGTCCGTGACGTTACCCGTAGGTTTCGGAAGAGCGTTTTTGAAGCTCAAAGTAGGCGGAGCCGGCCATTGCTATCTTGGCAGCGCGTCACTCCCGGATAATCGAAAATGGGCAAAGAGGCGGGAGCTGGTTGCTGAAACCACACCCACCTAGCTCGACGATGGTGACAGCAGTGTAGCTATATAGACCAAAACCACTTTTTGTACCAGGCTGTAAACATATTTTTTTCTGCTGTAAAGTTGGGCATTTTAACATGGGGCGTCTATGGGATTGACTCCCTTTTGCAGCCAGCCTCTAGCGGCCAGTCGATGAATTGCAGTTTTAGTCACTTCCTTGTTGGTTTCACGAGAGAGAGCGGGAGGTTGCCGCTTGGTCAAAAGTTTGGAAGAAGTTGTATTTTCAAAGCCTATTAAATGTTAAAAAAAATAATGGCTTTCAATTATATTGTAATGATGAATAACTGTAATTAATGGCTGAAACTGAAGGAAAACTGCATTTAATAGATGCCGTTTTTATGTATTTAAAATATATCATCTTCATATTTGTTTCTACATTAATTTGGAGATTCAGTGTGAAATTATGACAATATCAATATATTAATATGTTATTAATTGCGGTTAATTACAGAAAAATGTGTGATTATCCGTTTAATCGATTGACAGAGTTGTTTTCTATTTGAATATATTTTAAAATGTAATTTATTCCTTTGCTGGTAAGGCTGAATTTTAAGCAGCAATTACTCAAGTCTTCAGTGTCACATGATACTTCAGAAATCATTCATAATAATCACATCAGTATTAATAATGGTTCTTCTTATTATCAATGTTGAAAACCGTTTTTGCTGCTTAAGATTTTTATTCAGGATTCTTTAATTAATAGAAAGTTCAAAAGAATACATTTAAAATGTCCTTACTGTTACTTTTGATCAATTTAATGCTGAATAAATGTATTCATTTATTTTTTAACAACAACAACAAAAAGATGCAGCAAAAACTATTTTCAGTATTTATGATAATATGAAATATCTGAAATGTCTGAAGGATCATGTGACACTGAAGACTGGAATAATGATACTGGAAATTCAGCTTTACATCACACAATACATTTTAAAATATTTTAACATTAAAAACAGTTATTTTACATTGTAATAATATAGTACAATATTACTTTTTCGCTGTTGTTTTTATCAAGTAAATACAGCCTTGGTGAGTTTAAAAGACTTCTTTCAAAAACATTTAAAACATTTGAATTATGCCAGGTACACAAGGTTCCAAAAAGGGCATTTTCAGAGTGCTGGCGTAGAACAGTGGTCTCAAACTCAATTCCTGGAGGGCCACAGCTCTGCAGAGTTTAGCTCCAAATCACACCTGCTTGGAAGTTTCTAGTGATCCTGAAGACACTGATTAGCTGGATCAAGTGTGTTTGATTAGGGTTGGAGCTAAACTGTGCAGAGCTGTGGCCCTATGCCATAGAAGAACCATTTTGGATTCCCCAAACAACCTTTTCTTAAAATAGCAATTATAGTGTGAAAAACATTTAAACCGCATTCAAAATAATCAAAAGAACCATTTTTCCACTATAAAGAACTTTTGTGCATTGAAAAGTTTCCTTGAATGTTAAAGGTTCTTCATGGAACCATCAATGCCTGTAAAGAACCTTTAATTTAAAGAGTGTAGTGTATCATGATCATAGACACACCTTACATTCTGCTGTTCTCATTATTTTTCATTGTGTTGTTCTCCAGCGGCCTTCACGATGATCGGCACCTCGACCCAGTTATCAGACCAGTGCTCTGAATTTGCCATCCCGTCCTTCTGCTATTACGTCTTCCCGTTGTGCGAGGAGGGCACCAGAGGTCCATGGCGGCGCCAGCTCTGCCGCGAAGAGTGCGAGGCTCTGGAGAACGACTTGTGCAATGCAGAGTACACCATCACACGCTCCAACCCTCTCATCCTCATGCAACTCGAGCTGCCCGCGTGCAACCTGCTTCCCCACCCCGGCTCGCCAGAAGCTGCCAGCTGCATTCGCATCGGCCTGCCACCGCAGTGTAGGTTGACTTGACTGAACTCGAAACCATAAAATGGGGTTAAGAGGCAAGGAAGACTCAAGGGAGGGTTTAATAAGCATGAAATCAAATGTAATTGGCTCCCAAGCACCCTCAATGAGCAATTAAAGCGAGAGGGGGCCCTCTAGTGGTGCATCTAAAATTTCTTGATGTTGCATTACTATAAATGATTGTCTATAACTCGTACACACAAATGAATATTTCAGTTACTCTGATTTTTATTTCGTGGTTTGAGAGAAAACACCTTCTAATTTTCAATCCTTGTTAAAGATTCACCCCCAAATCACAGCTGTTACAACGGAAGTGGCGCCAACTACAAAGGCACGGTCAGTGTCACAAAATCAGGCTACCAGTGTCAGCCGTGGAGCGCACAGTATCCACACAGTCATCATCTGACGCCTGTTGAGTACCCTGAGCTCAGAGGTGGCCACAATTTCTGCAGGAACCCCGGAGGGCAAATGGAGAGCCCTTGGTGTTTCACTTTGGACCCTAATGTTAGAGTGGACGTCTGTGACATTCAGCCCTGCAGTGAGTAGATTATCTTTATGACCCTCATGGGCGGGAAAAGAACTACTTTGTGATTTTTGTTGTTCTAAATTTTTTTTCTTTTTTTTTTCCCCCAGAGCCTCCGGAGAAAATGAAAAAGGAGATACTGTACATCTTAATCCCCAGTATAGCCACCCCTCTTGTTATTGCCTGCTTATTCTTCTTGATCTGCATGTGCCGCAATAAACAGAAGGAGTCTGCTGATGACACCCCCACTCGCCGCCAACTCACTGCCTCACCGAGTCTAGAAATGGAGCTGCACGTCTGTGACATTCAGCCCTGCAGTGAGTAGATTATCTTTATGACCCTCATGGGCGGGAAAAGAACTACTTTGTGATTTTTGTTGTTCTAAATTTTTTTTCTTTTTTTTTTCCCCCAGAGCCTCCGGAGAAAATGAAAAAGGAGATACTGTACATCTTAATCCCCAGTATAGCCACCCCTCTTGTTATTGCCTGCTTATTCTTCTTGATCTGCATGTGCCGCAACAAACAGAAGGAGTCTGCTGATGACACCCCCACTCGCCGCCAACTAACTGCCTCACCGAGTCTAGAAATGGAGCTGCCTCTACTTAACCAGCACAAGCATCAGGTAATCTTCCATAATTTCTGCTTTTGAAGGTTTATTGAAGTTGCAATCAAAATCTGCATGCAATTTTTGCATTCACAGGTCAGATTGGACCCAACTGAACATAAGATTATAAATTAGTAATGACTTAATATTTTAAGTTATAATATTTTGCATCTGATCAGTAACTTAAGTGAATGCACAAAAATGCCAAAGTTTTGCATAGTAGTGTTATCATGTTATTACTACATTTATTACCATGTTATTACTACATGATCGTTTTTATTAACGAAAACATTGAGAAATTACAAGAACAAAATCTGTATGAAATTGATGAGTATAATCTGAGAGTTTACAGTATTAATTCAATAAATAATTTGTTTGTACTTACAAGTTATGACTGCTCAAAAATAGTCCAAATTTATTAGTTTTTTTAACACAACATCAATATTACTCTTAAATGTTTTCAAAGAAAATCATTTTATTCATAATTCATAAAAACTTTCTTTTCTTTTTTTTTCAGTGGTTCATCAATAGGTGCCCATATTCATGTTTATCAACAAAATCCAGTCCTAAACGTGTGTGAGATATGGGAATGAGGCTAAATACATTTTACTAAACTGTTTTTGAGAAAAATGTAACTCATTAATGTAAAAAAAAAAAGGCTGCATAACATCATCTCAGTTCCAAATGTACCCAAGCGCAAAAGGTACAACTCTTTTTAAATGTTGTATCTCTTAAAAACATTTTTTTTTTTTAAATGTTGTGTAATACTTTAAATACAATGTTTGGTTCCCTTACTAAGAACTCTGCATTTTTAGAAGTCATTAATCTCTTTCAGGTTCAAATGAACCTTGATGTATCATTATGATTAGTGAGCCAGTGCCAGTTAAGTTTTGTCATTATATCCGATCCGTAACTGCTCATTTCGCCTCTTCCATTGAGCACAAGCAGACTTGATGATGGCTTATTGTCTTTAATTCCTAGGCAAAGCTACGAGAACTCAACCTGTCTGCAGTTCGGTTCATGGAAGAGCTTGGAGAGGACCGTTTCGGAAAAGTCTACAAAGGTCACCTCTACGGTACGGCTCCAGGTGAACAGACCCAGGTGGTGGCTATAAAGACGGTCAAAGACAAGGACGAGGGTCCTCTACGGGAAGAATTTCGCCATGAGGCCATGCTCCGGTCCCGCCTACAGCACCCCAACATCGTCTGCCTTTTGGGCGTGATAACTAAAGAACAGCCCATGAGCATGATCTTCAGCTATTCGGGCCACGGTGACCTCCACGAGTTCCTGGTCATGCGATCCCCTCACTCGGACGTCGGCAGCTCTGATGACGACAAAACGGTCAAATCCACTCTGGAACAGGCAGACTTCCTACACATCGTCACACAGATAGCAGCCGGAATGGAGTATCTTTCCAGCCACCACGTGGTACACAAGGATCTAGCTGCCCGTAACATTCTAGTTTGCGATAAACTCAACGTGAAGATCCTGGACCTTGGGTTGTTCAGAGAGGTCTACTCAGCCGACTACTACAAGCTAATGGGAGCCAGTCCCTTCCCAATCCGTTGGATGTCCCCAGAAGCCATATTGTACGGCAAGTTCTCCACCGATTCAGACATCTGGTCCTACGGCGTGGTGCTATGGGAGATATTCAGCTATGGCCTCCAGCCGTACTGCGGCTATTCCAACCAGGATGTGATTGAGATGGTTCGCAACAGACAAGTCCTTTCCTGCCCAGATGACTGTCCAGCCTGGATTTACACACTGATGCTAGAGTGCTGGAATGAGTTCCCCGCAAGAAGGCCAAGATTCAAAGACATTCATGCCCGGTTGCGCACCTGGGAGAGCTTGTCCAACTACAACAGCTCGGCGCAGACCTCAGGAGCGAGCAACACCACTCAAACCAGCTCCCTCAGCACGAGCCCCGTCAGTAACATCAGCAATGCCCGCTACATTAGTCCCAAAAAGTCTTCCCCGTTTCCCCAGCCTCAGTTTGTGTCCATGAAGGGCCAGATGCGCCCAATGGTGCCGCCCCAGCTCTACATCCCAGTCAACGGCTACCAGCCAATGCCGGCTTATCCGTACATGCAGAACTTCTACCCCATGCAGATCCCAATGCAGATGCCTCCACAGCAGCTGCACCCACAGTTGGTCGCCAAGGCTGGATCGCACCACAGCGGCAGCGGCTCCACCAGCACCGGCTATGTGACCACGGCACCCTCCAACGGATCTGGCACGGAGAAGGCGGCCCTTATGAATGAAGACCTGAAGACGACGGATGAGGATTTCGCTGACGGAGCCTCTCAAAGTGGCCTGCACAATGAGGACCTATCTGTTCCTGAGACAGAGCTCCTGGGGGACAGTGACAGCCCGCGGACCAAGGGCAATGAAATCAACTTGAAAGCGTAGATGATCTTTTTAAATTGGTTAGATGAGAAGAATCATTTTCTGAAGTTTTTCTCAGTTGTACAGGTTTAAAAAGTGAAGGGAAACCAGTGAGTGACACATGGACGTAGTGTTATTTATGGGTCTTTTGTTTTATCAGCAGCCACTGATGGATGAACGCATCATGCTGTTGGAGATATTTTTATAAGTAATGTCAGCTTCACCCATGAGCTGCAATTTTTGTAGTCTATGATGAAGAATCGAGCTTTCAGCCCTTCTGCTTTGGGGTCGGTAGCAGATGATCTTGTTGGTTTGGTTGTTTTAATCAAATTGTTGCAAAGCTATTCAGAAGAATGCATGTTCTTACTGTTGCTGTGCAACATGAAACATCATTTCAAGCATGTTGTGGGTACCATTCATTAATGTAACCTCTTCTCAGTTGGTGGTGTCATTGAGAACAAGTCATTAATCGAGCCTTTTGGCTCCACAGGTTTAAATGTATTTCTTGCTTGAGGGCTTTGGTAAATGATAGCATGATGAAACCTCATCATGGATCACGATATTGGACTATAAACGATGTGGATGTGCAGAGACATGGATGCTGACCCCAAGACATTTGTGTCCTTTTTTTTAGAAGTTGCTTTTATAAAACTCCTGTTGATTTTCTGTTGTAAAGGTTTGTAATTTATGCCATTGATTCTCTTGAAGATTTGTAACTGGTTTGTAATGTTCTTTGTCTTATTTTGTTTAGCCTGTAGTATTACTTTAAAGTCATACCAACCGGAAACTTGCTTTCTACCCAGATGTTATTAACAAACATTAACCATATATTTTGTTCATCCAGGCACGTGGAGAATCCAATAAAGTAATACATAATATGATATTACTTGTGGGGTTTCCTCAACTTGTATTCAGTCAAAGCTACAATCTAGACATTGGAAAAGCATTTTGCTATGATATTGTAATTAAAATAGCACAATCGTGTATTTTATATGACTCGTTATATGTACTTCGTGAAAGATTAAGTAACTGAGTGAGTGGTGTGTGCTGGTTCATGTTAACCAATGACTGTAAAGTAGGTGTTCTTATTTCCCAAGAAAGGCGGGACCAAAGTAATAACCGATATATTCTCCACTTTTGGCAGACAAACTGCAAATAATTTACACTTGCATACAGAACTGATACTTCTGCAGTAATACACGTTTGCCTGCTGAGATGTCAACAGGTGCTTGTTGCTCCACGCAGGATGAACTGGCTCGCATCAGCAGTTTACGGAATGCCTACCAGTTTCACGCGGCGCCCAGCATCCGTGCAAACAGTGGGACGCGACGGAAAAGACAGTTTACGCCTGATGAGCAGAAAGACGGTAATTACTGGCTCAAACGAACTCGTAATAACGAAGCTGCGAAGAGGTCTCGCCAGCGCAAGAGGATGGAGGGACATCTTCTGGAGTCGCGCGCCGTCGAGCTTCAACGAGAGAATGACAAATTAAAGGCTGCGCTCTCTGCAGTCCATCATCACAGCACGGCTCAAAGTAACCCGATGCATGCTGCTTCTGGGTTCCCTCTTGGGCTGCCAAATGGCTGTTATCCGCGCAGTTTTGCCGTTCCTCTTTGCCCATTTTCTGGTTGTTGCGGAACAATATGTCCTGAAACAAATCTTTTTCGCTCGGTTTTCGATTCGGCATCATACCCTTTGCTGAAAAACTCTGCCAGTAATAATAATACGAAATCCCCGCGCATCAGTTTATTGGATGGTTATCATCCAGTGGGCAGGTGCAGTCATGAAACCAATGCATGCACCAGCAGAGCGTATGTGAGGAATAGAGTTTTTGCGAATGGAAACGACTCGGCTCAAACGATGCACGAGCTGCCGGAGGACAGAAACGCATTGGCCAACCTGTCGCGCTGTTATATTTCCAACTGCCAAATGGCTGTTATCCGCGCAGTTTTGCCGTTCCTACAACTGTGTTACCACTGCGCAGTCTACCTCTTTGCCCATTTTCTGGTTGTTGCGGAACAGTATGTCCTGAAACAACTCTTTTTCGCTCGGTTTTCGATTCGGCATCATACCCTTTGCTGAAAAACTCTGCCAATAATAATACTACGAAATCCCCGCGCATCAGTTTATTGGATGGTTATCATCCAGTGGGCAGGTGCAGTCATGAAACCAATGCATGCACCAGCGGAGCGTATGTGAGGAATAGAGTTTTTGCGAATGGAAACGACTCGGCTCAAACGATGCACGAGCTGCCGGAGGACAGAAACGCATTGGCCAACCTGTCGCGCTGTTATATTTCCAAAACATCGCCTTCTGATACGGCGCAGAATTACGCGCGGCAGCCTGGACCGATCGGGGGTGAAACGCAAACAAATGCAGAGGAACGAACTTGCCAACAACAAGCGACCACGCAGTCCGTTCTGCTGCCGCACAAACTGCGCTACAAAGCGGGTATCGCAAGGTTTGCGTCCACGAACTTTCCATCTTAATGGAAACCAAGAACGGCAGACTCATGCTAGTTATGAAAAGATTGTCATTTTTATTGCATTTGTTTAATTGCTCACATTTAAGTAAAAAATCACTTACCTTGCACTGTGAATCTGTAGTTGTAATACCTCCTAAATAAAAGGTATTGTTTCTGCGCACGTGTGTGCTTTGTATGTGTTATGCATTGAACATTGAACGTTTTTCTTGACTGCATGATCAACATCAACACTTATGCATCTTACTTTCAAAATGCATATGAAATATTATAAAGGAGAAATCGATGCTTCTTGGTATAATATTGTGTTCAGTTGTTTGTAAATGTGCACTTGAACGAATGCCAGCGCAATTGAAACATGTTTCTTTTTCCACTGGATGGCGCACTCATACACGTCTTATTTAATGTAGGTCATCTTGGGCGCCACGTTGTGCAACTCTTAGTTTTAGGTTACATCACATCCACACCTGTTATATCATATCGACCATTAGACAGCTATAAATTACATGTTACATGTTGACAATTTCATAACACGCGCATATATATATATATTCAAACTAGTTTTAATTGTTGGAGAAAAGCTACGGCGGTCATTGAGTTGATGATGCTGAGAAAATCAAATTGGAACTGATGTAACACTAGTGTGATTGTGTCCTTTAAACGAGGTAATAATGCATAACGCCATTTATGTAAGTCTTTGAAAAGGAGCCCTTCTGCTGTAAACTGTTCCCTGTTTCTTTGAATGCCGCAAGGTGGCTTAATTTCTTTCAAACAGAAGATGTGTCTGTTGATATTTTGGTAACAGCTGCATACACGTCATCCAAATTTGAAGTAATTAAAATGATACGGTTAATGGTTAGAATAATCGCTATATAATTGGGCTTTATTCATTTCTATATTAAGATTATGGCAGTTATTTTAATGATTTTAGTTCTGCTACTACCTACAATATCAATAGCCTGATAATAATGATAAAATAATAATGAACACGGTATAGTCCTAGTTAAACATATATTTATGTAATTTTTGACATGTAGAAGTTTCTGGATATTCTAGATCTGGTGGCCATACAAAACGCATTTAGAAAGTTTCACTGTAAGCATTTTTAGTAGGCTATAAAAATACACTTTTTAAAGGTAGCCGACAAGGTTTTCTTCAACTGAACTATAGGACTCCCCACTATGTATATTAGCCTACTGTTCATTCTTATGGAGTCGTTATTACTTAAGTGAAACAGACTGCTATTAATGGGGAGCGATTCATTGGCTCAAATCGATAGATGCTGTATTTGGATTGGTCGAGAGATGTGCCAGTCAATGGACGCTGCCAATACACTTCTGTAGTGATCTACTAACACAGATCCATGAGGCAGGCACTCCGGCAGGAGAACGCATAGGAGAAACACAAGTATTATTTCCAGATGGGATTTTATTACTGCTGATGAAACACTTCTGGTCGCTTTGAATGTTTTTATATGCATTATTTATCCCGGACATCCATCTATTTGGACCTTTACTTATAAGAGGTAAACGCTTTCTTCTTTTACCGTGAGGCTTACATGAAACGGATAGGGCTCGTTTGGGGTGTTTCAACCGGTAGCCGGTATATGGGCTACAGCAGATTAATACAGTAAGGCAACTTTCAACGTGGTCTATTTTCAATATGTGCTCCATACTTATTTTTCGCACAACATCATGTCAGTGCAGACCTAATCATGATCATGTTAGTGTTTAACCTAAACGCTTATGGAATTATACAGTGCCATATTTTTGTACAGCACATTACTATGATATTTTTGAAAATCAAAACATAATAGGGGCATTGGGAGACGGGGTGGCACAGTGACCCACTATTCGTTGCGGGTGGGTGTATCAGGCTCTCGGGTCAATGCATAATAAATTTAAACCTTATGCAATTTAATATAATTTAACATTAAATGATATTATAGCTAGATCTGTGGTTTTAACGTGTTACATTTGTACTGAATTTTGCAGTTGCTTTAATAGTAGGCTAAATGTTACAAGAATGTCAGTTTCTCTCCGTTCAAAGACGACCGCTTGTTTGCATTTATTGTGTAACAGTGACTGATCATCTTACAGTCCTTGCACAATAACGGAACCTGGGACACTTCTGACAAAAAGTCTGCAACGGCACGACATCAGAAACGAGCTGCTGTTTAATGCCCAGCGATAGCTGTTGTTTATTCTGACCATCTGTAAAAACCGATATCTTTAATTTATCGCTAAGGTTAATGTTTCACGCGCACAGATCAGACTGTCCTGAGTGTCTGTGTCGGGATGGGGTGAATGCATTATTAAAGGCCTGTCAAATAACAACACAGCAAGGGTATGGTGTGTGTATATACGCCTTTGCACTGGAGGTAGCATTTTAAACGCGATTTAAGTGTAAAATTATCACTTCACGCCAGCCAACTTTGTTGTAGCCATCTTTTTATTATTCCTTGGAGACGCAGCCATGGTTGAATCCCAAAACCATAACACGCACGCATGAGTGTTATGAAAAAAATAATGTGTTGCTATGAACCATTATAGCAGAAATAATACAAGCCCTTTCATTGTTTATCGAGTTGCGAGATGTTTCAGTCACATTTTCTAGCGCCCTTTTATTGATTAATTTGTCTCTGTTCAGCCACGTGTGACGCTGGCTGCTCGCATTCCTTTGTTCCCTGCGCTTTAGTCTGCGCCTATACTGGAGCCTAAATTCAAGACTGTGTTTACAATCTGTTATAGTGTTATGATCGAGCGCACTCCTAAGTTACTACGGAAAACTTAAGTTTATGGCCACGGCCAAGTTTAGATGAGGTCATTCCAGCTGTTTGATCTGCACGTTAAAGGTCATTGTCAGGTCTTCAAATTTGTCTCCTGCAACGTTGTGAACTAATACCCTACTTCGTCGAAAGGGTTGCCAGATTTGAATGTAATCACGACCAAATTATATTACATTATGCGTTTGAAAGCGTGAGCTGTTGCATTACTTTGAGCATGCGACCCGCCTCAAAAATGGTGACATAATGAGGCAGAGCATAATTTGAAGATTACAGTACGTTTTAATAGTCACGTTTCGACTTGCGTGACATCACCATGTAAAACTTTTTATATTTCCTGTCCCGTCTTTTTAAAAATAGAAACACTGTACACACTGTTAATTTTCTCTCTTCCCTAAAAATTATTAGGCTTTTCAGCAATCAGGTCCAGTGTGTTTTCTATCAGCTGTTTATGATCAGAACTACAGACCGCGAATGAATCACTCTGATGTAATCGGTCAAAGGGGTTTGCAAAAACATCTGAAATCTGAAATTGTTGGCGATTCATTCTGACACGTTTACAGCGGTTTCTCACACAGTAATGAGATACGTTATAAGCCAGAAAACAAAAAGATTGCTGGATGAGTTGGATATTTACATACAACCAATTGTAGGAAACAAAACTTGCAAATGTCTTCTATCCTTTGTGAACGATAATGCAGCTCTTTAGTTATAGGCATAACCAGATCAAAATATGGGGGCACTTTTTTGATTGGGTGTCTAATGTGTCTCTGTTTTTATCTCACCAGATCCATTACAAAATTCTCTGGAACTGACTTCACAAAAGAGGACACATGACTTCTATAGCACTCGGTCTACAATGAGATGTCTACTTAAAACCAGAGTCAACTAATGAGCTTATGCAGTCTTGATGACCACATTGTGTAATATGCAAGCCATTAAGAAGGAGCCCTCATGCACTGGGCCCTACGGTGGAGAGGATGCCTTGGTGCTGGCGTTGGCTTTGCAAGGGACAGATAGAGACCTGATTAACCACGAGCTGTCCACCATGCCCTTTAAGAACAAGTCCACCAACTGTCGCAGAAAACGCGAGTTCATACCGAACGAGAAGAAAGACAGCCTATATTGGGAAAGGAGGCGCAAGAACAATGAGGCAGCCAAACGTTCACGAGAAAAGCGCCGACTCAACGATATGGTTCTGGAGAACAAGCTCATGGCCCTTGGGGAAGAGAACGCATCGCTGAAAGCCGAGCTTCTGTCGCTTAAACTCAGGTTTGGCTTAGTGAGCTCAGCAGTCTATGCTCAGGAGGTGCAGAAAATTTCCAGTTCCACTGCTGCACTCTACCAGGACTTTATCACACCCAGTGCCACCAATGGTTCCTACCCAAGTGAGCTCGAGCCGGCACGTTTAACCAGCAGCCACATATCAGTCATCAAGCACTCACCTCACAGCGCCTTGTCCGATGGATCCGACTCAAGTATGGTCACCCAGGGGAGCCCACTTATAAATATATCCCGAACCCCTGACAGCATCAAACAAGAACCCCTGGAAACCGGCAGATACGCCAAAGCCAGGGCAAGTCCATATGAACGGTACAGGAACTACCTTAGTAGCCATTTCCCTGGGAGCTACTCCCAGCCATCGCCGTTCTTGCAAATTGCCAGATCGTCTAGCAATTCTCCACGAACATCTGACTGTGACGACGGGGCCGTAAGCAAGTCCTCAGATGGAGAGGATGAACAGCAGGTCCCGAAGGGTCCGGTTCCACCCAGGGCCGATTCACAGAGTGTGATTGTGTCGACCCTCAAAGTGCCAGATGCCAGTGCCTCAGCTTTGCCCCACAAGTTGAGGATCAAATCCCGGGCCATCCAGATCAAAGTGGAGGCTATTGATCCCGACTATGAATCATCTGGCAAGTCCTCCTTTCCCATTGACATGTCTGCGAGTCGATGCTACCAAATGAGTCAGTACGTTACACCCGAGTACATTCAGTCATCTTTGAGCCCGATGTCCTTCCAGATGACCGATGTTCAGGACTGGAGTCAGCAGCCGAAGGAATGGCACAAAGATCACCAGGAGGAACCAACTAACTGCAAAAACCGGCACTGTCCAGACTCACCGAGAGCTATGCCTAACAAACTCATCGTCGACCTTAAAAACGACTCGTATGCTAGCTCCGAATCTGAGAACTTGTACTTGAAACAGGGCATTTCTGATCTGTCGGCAGAAGTGGCCTCCTTGAAAAGACTGATTACAAAACAGCAGGGGTCTGTTATTGAGTCCACGAAAAGCACTACTGAAATTGACTCATTATGAAAAGGATGTTTCTGAAACTAAGTTCCCTCTATTTGCACAATGCCTGTTTTCCACTGTGTTCGCTACTGCACTGTGCGGTTGTTATGGTGTCAAAGAGCTGCACTTCATTGAGAAGAATGGTGTTTTGTGCACTTACTGTTGTAGTTTGGCGTGTCTTCTTGGTGACTCCATTTGTAGCCCAAAAATTTAGCTACTGTTAATGTTAACTTCTCAAAATGTATTGTACATTGTATGTTCTCTTTTGTTTACAATAAATGCAAGCACTGAAATACTTGAGTCTTTTCCATCTTCCTTATTTAGCAAAGTATATCAACTTTATCCAAACTTTTACAAGAATATTAACTCTTAGGAAATACCTAAAATGGTCACACTTCTCAACTGTAGCTATAGAATATAACAACAGATATAATTATTTTAACTCTTGAGTGCTCATTAATGCAGTGTGTAAGTGAGCAAATAACATTTACTGAATAAGATGTCTTATAAGAAACTGATAATATGTTGAATCATCTCATGAATAATTGTAATAACAGTTATAATACATTATAATACTTACCTATTTGTGGTTATAGCTTTTTAAAAAATGATGATTTACAACACACAATGAACACACTGTATGCTTTTAAGCCACAAAGGATTATAGTTCTCATAGTTATAATGTTTAAGCTTATGTCTTGATGGTTTAAGATCTACACAATATCTTTTTATGAGTGGTCATTTATTGTAAAAAGTTACGAACACAGAGCCTTCTTTTAAACATCCAAATGGCTTTGTAATGTTGTCATAATATTTATGTGGTCTTTGTCTGCCTTAAAGGGATACTCCACCCCAAAATGAACATTTTGTCATTAATCACTTACCCCCATGTCGTTCCAAACCCCTAAAAGCTTTGTTCATCTTCGGAACACAATTTAAGATATTTTGGATGAAAACCGGGAGGCTTGTGACTGTCCCATTGACTGCCAAGTAAATAACACTGTCAAGGTCCAGAAAGGTCCTCTGTGTCTCTCCACATCACCGTAGTGGCATTTTGGAGAATATGAGCTGAACGCAAGCAGCGTACGCTATTCTGTGTCAGCCGCGCTGCACGGATGCGTTGTTTTCGTTCAAATCGAAGCGTAAAAAAAAGTGTACACGTAGAAAACGGCTTTGCGGCTGATACAGAATAGCATACGCTGCTTGCGTTCAGTGGTTATTCTCCAAAATGGCGCTACAGTGATGCGGAGAAACACAGAGAAGACGAATTGTTGAATAAAGTCGTTATTTTTGTTTTCTTCGCGAACAAAAATGATTCTCGTCGCTTCATAACGTTACGGTTAAACCACTGATGACAGATGGACTATTCTGACGATGTCTTTCATACTTTTCTGGACCTTGACAGTGTAAGTTACTTGGCAGTCAATGGGACAGTCCCAAGCCTCCCGGTTTTCATCCAAAATATCTTAAATTGTGTTCCGAAGACGAACAAAGCTTTTACGGGTTTGGAACGACACGGGGGTAAGTGATTAATGACAAAATGATCATTTTGGGGTGGAGTACCCCTTTAAGTAAAGTAACAGGTCAAATTAAGTCTTCTTTTAAACAGAATATATCATGAATGGGTTATATTGCACATTTGCTGTATTTATTGTAATATCAACACAGTTATATTGCACTGTTTCAGATGTTAAATGCTAGCATGAGTTGAACTACCACACAGTAAAATTTACATTAGAAACACTCAAATCTGAACAACCACCCCAACTACTGTCAAGATTTATTAAAACAATATGCAGATCTTTACCAATGTCAAGATATGAGCCTTATAATACATGATAACTATTATACATTATGCATATATTTTAATGTGTTAAGAATAATGCATTATAGATACAGGCTTCATAGAAAGTTATAATATAAGTTATTAAAACATTAATAGCAAAATGAAACAATGTGTGACTTTCTGTAAGGACAATATTAGGGAGACTAGGTCATCAGTTAGAGGTGACTGTTCAACTAAATTTAAGAAAACCGTCTTTGGACAATCAAATTTTTTCAGGTAGAGCAGCAGAAAGATGTACTTCATTACCTGTTTACATTAGAGACTAGAGAGTGTACAACATTTTGTATTTTTAAAACTACACTTAAAGTATGGCTAAAGGAAAACCATGTGATCACTAAGTATGATGTGATATTGTATGTATTGTATTGTGTGTGATGGACTATTGTAATTTTGTAACAACACCCTGCCCTGGGACTGCAGATGCAATACACTTGTGTTGTGCATGGTCCCTGTTAAATAAATGAAATAAACTTTAGAAAAAAGAAAAAAGAAAACCAAAAACATGGAAAAATTATGTCCAACAAACCATGTTTTTCCATGCTGAGGGTGAACCTATAACATTCTCTAGAGTCTAGACAGTATAACCTCGTTAGTCTTATATAGGTTTGCAAATATTTTTCATAATGAGGAAACTTTGCATACTATATACTTGACATTCATTGTGTACTATGCATGTTGTTGGCTCTTGTGAGGAATCAGACGCCAAAATGCTAGATTTGTAACTCGCGTATGCTAAATGAGTAAAGCTAAATGTCAATGACAAATGGCGTACAGGTTTTTTATAAATTTACCATATGAATTGTGTATAGGCTGTATATTTTACCTAAAGATCATGCCGTCTGGTCAAATCCCTCCGTGTTTCGTAAGAGAGAAATCCCGCCGCCGCAGAGAAACCGCGGTCACGTGACCTGAAACAGACACGTGACTCGCAGTTCAGAGTTGACCGTCAAGGAAAGCTGAAGCATGGCGGCTCTAGTGAAGTGCAGAGCGCTGTTTCAGCCTCTCCGATCTCAAATGAACGTTATCAGCGGCGTCTGCAGATCGGACAGTGTTTTGCACTCATTTCTAACCAAGAGAGCGCCTCACTGTGTGCGACTGTACAGCTCCGACGTTAAGTCTGGAGATGACCTTATCGTTAGATACTTGGACGGTGAAGACTCAGGTAGAGCACAAGAACGTGAATGATTGATCACAGAGTTTGTGTATCGGATTCTTGTACACTGTGTTGCGGGTTCATATGCAATGCAGACACGTACTCTGCAGCTTCTCTCATAATGCCCCATTATTTAACCGTTTCAGTGCCCTACTGTTACGCCAAGAAACTGTCATTTGTCTTTAATAAATGCCTGAGTTTAGAATTCCAAATCTGCCCAATACTCTCAAAATTATTAAATGTTCCTAACTAATATTAGACTTTATTGTCACTTCAAGGGTCTGTTTTAGTTGTCATGATTTTTCATACATTTTCTTGCAATTTGTCAACTGTTTATTGTAGTGTAACTGTTCTTGTGTTTTAGGGATTGTTGTTTTGGGGATTAATCGCCCTCAATCTAAAAATGCCATCAGCAAAAATCTTGTTACAATGGTGAGTATTTTTACAATGTTACTTGTCAAAATGTAATAGTTAATCACTCTTGGCCACTACATGACTACCTAATACTTAAAAAAAAAAAAACTGTCAAGAAGTAATTTGTTTTTATTTATTTTTTATTAACAATGGTATTCTTAGATGTACTTTAGAATTGCCTGTACACTCTAAAAACAAATCTTTTGATGCAAAAAAATGCAACAGTTTGCATCAATCTTTTTGAGTTACGACTACTTCTAATGAAATTGTTAAACCCATAGACTGTATTTTTTTTTTTATGCAATAGAAGAACAACAAATACAATTACAAAGACAACAGTCACATTATGCTTAAGGTCATTGTGAAATTGTACAGTGTAAATACTAGTTGCAGAGATAATGTTTTGAAGAGTTCATTTAATTATTAATAAACGGGTAATGTATTTTACATCCTATTAGCTATCATTGCTTGTTATTACAGCCCCATTATTTCATCCAATGGAAACCCTGCTCTCTAGAGATCAGCTCAGCCATTAAAAACAAACAAACAATTGACTGCAAATTAGAAAAGTGTTGACATATGAGAACTTAATTTAATGGTTAATCCAGTTTTAGGCATTTGATGAAATGTTTTAGGTACTCTTCCCATGCCAACGATTGCAGCCATTGATGGGGCGGCTCTTGGAGGAGGTCTTGAAATGGCTCTTGCCTGTGACATCAGAGTGGCAGGTAGAGCATGTGGTTCATCTCATGACTTTATATGAACACAAGCTGTAGCTGATTCGCACAGTTCAAAAGGCATGATCTTAATTAAATACAGAAAATTATTATTGGCACATGATTCGAGTGTAAATCCATATTAGAGATACTCAAGCTGGTTATACTGTAGTTCAGCTCCACTGGAAATCAGGACAAGTGTGGGATCAACAACAACCTAAAATGATTTAAAGGGGTCATGACATGGATTTTTTATTTTATATACTTTTATGTTCCTCCATTTGCACACAAAAAAAAAAAA